CCCTGGTTGCTGTTGAGTTCCCTGCTTGCTTTTAGAAAGAGGGAAACAGAAGAAACAACTCTGCATTAAAATACTGTGATGGTGAGCAGAGTCAAAATAATGCCAGCATTATATAGATGGCTTAGACCAAAATAATCAGCTTGCAAGTGAGGTGTTGGAAAGTTATAGGGATCAAAGATGCTAATACTAAGGCAATGACAATTTGAGGTAAATTTCTGGAGTGTGATAAATGAGTCACTTTGAACTCTTGCCTTTCTTGATACATCCCCAAATGACAGTTGCATTTATGTAGCATTTTATATGTTCCAAGTCTTGTCTGGGTGGCATGTTGTGTGTATTTCCTGTGCTGAGGAGAGTTCAGAAGCATCACTCATTCGTATTTTTGCTACCATGAAAGCCATGTGATTTTCCCAGGAAGACCTAATTGGACCTGTGGATCAACCAGGACACCATTCTGACTCCAGCCTCATCACTGTTTTTGATATATGCCAATCACCTTGATCTGGCGAGTGGTGTTCTGGGGTCCAGGCATCTGAATGAACTCCAGAGTTACATAGAACAAGTGAGAGAAAACAGTAAAAGAAAAAGAAAATTCTAAACCCGTCAGAGATCAAGGGTATTCCAAGTAGGAACATGAATAACCTCTCAGAAGATACGTAGAGAGGGAAAGAGGCAACAGAAGTCAAAGGTTTGACAAATAAAATGAGTCTGATAGGGACTGGAGGTTATGGAATCTTGTGAGGATGGTCCGTACCCCACAATATGATGGTTGTCAAAGAAGTAGACCACAATTCTTGCAAAATTTTGCTCAGCTATCAGGCAAAAAGTTGCAAAATTGCACCCAAGATCTTCCTTAGTTTGAGATTCATAAACAAAATGCATTATTGAATAGGTACTGTAGAAAGAGCTCTGTGGAGAATTAACTTCCTGGGACTTATTTTCATCTTTGAACACAAGAACTTTTCTCTCCTAATCTTGGAACACTCTGGTAGATGGATTGTTATCTCGAAGACATTGTTTTGTTTGACCATATGAGAATTAGCCTGGAGTAATTTAGAGTAATTATTACAGCAGACCCTGGGGGGAAAAATGGTACAAATATCAGTAGTGACTTAACCTGCATTTCTGATCCTTCAGGAACTTTTCCATGGTTTGAACCAGGATGAGCAAGATTCTACAAGTTTTCAGGATATTACAGTTTTGGGAGCTTCAGTCTAGAATCACAGAATCACACAGAATAGTTGAGGTTGGAAGGGACGTTTGGAAATCATCTGGTCCAAACCCCTGCTCAAGCAGGACCACCTATAGCACACAATCCAGGACCGTATCCAGATGGCTTTTGGGTATCTCCAAGCGTGGAGATTCCATGAAGTCTCTGGGCAACCCATGCCGGTGTTTGACCATCCTCACAGTGAAAAAGTGTCTCCGTGTGCTGAGAGGGAACATCCTGTGCTTCAGTTTGTGCCCATTGTCTCTGGTCCTGTCACTGGGTACCACTGAGAAGAGCCTGGCTCCATCTTCTCCACTCCCTCCCTTTACATATTTGTACACATACATAAGATCCCCCCCTGAACTTCCTCTTCTCTTGGCTGAACAGTCCCAGCTATCTCAGTCTTTCCTCAGAGGAGAAATGCTCCAATCCCTTGATCATCTTCATGGCCCTAGAAGTTTGTTGCTTTTTCTGAAGCAGTCATGATTTATCCAGCCAGATTATTCAACACAGCATCCTTATCCCTGCAGAGCACTTCATATTTTTCTAGAAGCCATAGAAATTTTTATATAGTTAGGACTGCAATTAAACCACACCATTAGCCATGATTAACTGACCTAAATGGAGAAATTACCTGGTCGTATGGATGCTAATTCTGGAGTTAGTTTACTTACCCATACCATAGTAAAAGCCTTCAGTCTCTCTTCAAAATGGCATCAGCACTTGAACTGTTAAATCCTGTGGTGATCACTGTAAGTTAGATTCTTAAATGTATGCTTTTTGAAAATATAAAACTGAATTACGCAGACATTTTAAATCATTTCACTTATACCATCTTTGCTGGAAGTGTATTAAAAAACACAAGTCAAAATATTTTGAAGTTAAGAAACATCACAGTTTTACTCAGTACAGATAGGAATTTTGTTTGCATGATAAAATCTAAAAAAAGGAACAGGAATACATGAATAATAATGATATGCATCTGCACTACTGAAGGTGTTTATGAAATTGTTTTGATCAGTGCTTTATTAGGCTGTTTGATTTACTAAGCTTTCACGTTCATAGAACATAATTGTAGTGTAGCTTATACTATGTACTGTCATTGAGGAACATTAATAATTTGTTGATAAGTTCTTTTCTATCTTAGAAATCAGTAAGTCTCTGAAACTCTGATTATCTTCATAATATTCTTACTTAATCTTTAATGATGATCTATGAGTTTTCTTTGTTCTTATTAACAGTTTGGTGTCAACATGCTGTTTTTAAGAGCACTCTTTCCTCCCAAACTAGTGAAGATCTGAACAGTTGACATCCATTGGTGCATTTAATGCAATTTAAGTTAGCCAATGCTTTATCCTTTAGAGGAGAAAAGCTTACAGCCATGTGACAAAGTCGTATCTATTCAGTAGCCAGATGTTCCATATAGCATAGCATTAATAGCAGTCACAAACTAAAATGAAAAGATTTTTTCATCATGGCAGAAACCCCCCCCAGACTTAGTCAATGACATCTAGTCAATGACACCCAATGGAAGGAAAAACAGACTTCCTGTGCAAAACAACACATAAACTAAATTATTTGTGTAATGCCCCAATTCTAGCATAAATGTTCTGATCAACGCTTATAAATACTTAAAGGGAGAGTGTCAAGAGGACGGGGCCAGTCTTTTTTCTGTGGTGCCCAGGGACAAGAGGAAACGGGCACGAACTTGAATATAAGAAGTTCCACCTAAACATGAGGAGGAACTTCTTCACTTTGAGGGTGGCAGAGCACTGAAACAGGCTGCCCAGGGAGGTGGTGGAGTCTCCTTCTCTGGAGACATTCAAAACCCACCTGGACACGTTCCTGTGCGACCTGCTCTGGGTGGACCTGCTTTGGCAGGAGGTTGGACTAGATGATCTCCAGAGGTCCCTTTCAACCCCATATCATTCTGTGATTCTGTAGTGTTCACAAGTTCACCCTTGAAGTTGAAAAGTTGGAAGTCCGGAGTATGTAAAGTTCGATATAGGTGGTGATAGTAGCAATTAATGTATACTGGAAATAAGAGCATCTTCCTATCTATTAAAGAAAATATTGTTCTTATTCTGAACAGCTCCTGTATATAGAGATAGTGTGATGGTGAAAGAGGTTAGGCTGGGTCTTAATCCTGTTTGTGCTGTATCTACTTGTTGGGTGGAGCTCACAAACATTGTTGAGATTGTGTCTGAACTGCTCGGTGGGAGGGTAAGGCTGTTTCAATGAGAAATATCTGAACTCATAACCTGGAGATTTCCCCTATTTTTAGTGCCAGTTTGATCTTTCATTTAGACGGAGCCAGTGTTCACCTATAATACCTGCTCAGTGTTAGTAAAGTGAGCCATAGCAAGGAGTTCATCCACCTGAGTTTCTTCACTGGGTCCATAAAAGAGGAGTGTGCCACCAACATGGTTAACCTGCTGCAGAACTGAGTTGCATGGACTCTGCAAGCTAAATTAGGGTGAAAATTGCAGACTACACCGTTTGGTGTTAGGCTGTGTATAAACAGTGTGTATAAACAGATAAAAACCCCAGAAATGTATAAGGCAGACAGAGCCCACAGCATGCTATAAGGGGAGAGTGGGTGGAGATTACATTCATTAATGTAATGACTCAGAATCCGTGAACTGGGATGTTACAAGTTTGAAAGAGGTAGCTGAAACAAATGTTGTATTTGTTTATCTATTCATTCAATTTTTTAAAGAACAGAAGATCAGATTTATGAGGTCACAAGTACTTTGTTATAGGAGAGAGTGAAGCTGCAGCCATGCAATTTAACTATGTCTTGTAGATGGAAAATATATGTACCTTTCATTCTAGTGGGTAGTTCCAGTCCTTAGATGAGAAGTTAAGGCATTTTTAGAGATGTATCAGTGCTCTCATTGCCTCAAAAGTCTTACACTGTGCTTTGTGTAGGCTAGATTTTGAGAATGTTTAGAAACATTAAGACAATCACAGCTAGTTGTTTAGGAAACATTGCCTCAAGAGGACAGCATGTTTCAGAGGGTTTTTCCAGGTGTTCTTAAGAAATTGGCTTTAATCCATAAAGCTTTCAGTTATTTGGACTATGCCTTCTCCCTCTCACTTCTACACAATTAAGAGCATAAACAGTTGGCACTAAACCCATCTTGATTTAAAATGGAAGATCCTCTTATCAGGGAATTTACTGTAAGTGGGGACAGACTCTGCTACTTCACTATCTCCTGGCCACCTGCTTTGCCTATAAGTATGTGATTTTGATATTCTTCTTGGAAAGCTGATTGTCTCCCCACCCTCTCTTTCATATTTTTTGAGAGATGATAACAATATAGTGTAACTTTGTGAGAGCTATTGTGGATTTATTATTGTAGGTGGTGAATATTATTATGTACCCTGTGGACAGTCAATTACGTGTGGCATATATTGTAGATTTTATATTTTGTCTGCTTTAAAAATTTCTTGAAGTGCCTAGAGTCAGGGTTAGGTGCTTAAGTTGTAACTTCAAATAAATAAATACATTAAATAAATAATTGAAGCAGGCAGCTTCAGATAATAAAGAGAGTTGGCTCCTGGGTAGAAAACACCGTAAGTCTTAAACCAGCAGAATCTTTAATAAAGAAGATGAAACAAAAGCCCCAAAGAATTTCTTCTCTGCGAGTGAAAACCAAAACCCAAACTAACAGGATTTATGCTTGGTGAATTAGAAGCTTCATTATATATATATGGTGCGAAACTAATTACTAGGGAGCATTTTATTTACCTCTAATTTCTATTTAATAGCCACTGCACTTGTCATTGCAGGTATGGTTACAAAAGTATGGCTACCTTCCACCAACTGACCCCCGAATGTCGGTGTTGCGCTCTGCAGAAACCATGCAATCAGCTATAGCTGCCATGCAGCAGTTCTATGGCATTAATATGACAGGAAAAGTGGACAGGAACACAATTGAGTAAGTAACCAGTACTGAACTGCTCTTGATTTTTCTGTTTCAAGCAGGGTAAAATAGAACTGGAAAAACTTTATACCACGTGAAGCAGGGTGACGGTGATATCCATATAGTGTTGCAGCTCCATAGAATCGTAGAATTGCCCAGGTTCAGATGGGGAGTTGAAATGTTTCTCTCTCTCCTTACCTTTTTTTTTTTTTCTTTTTTTTCCATCATCTGTGTTTCATGGTAGCAGGTAGTCACCTGCTTCGCTGCTGCCTGCCTTTGGGCACGTGACTGTAAAGAGAATGTTTCAGGGTTAACTAATGTTTTCCTCTCTCCTTTCCTTTTTTTTTTTTTCTTTTTTTTCCATCATCTGTGTTTCATGGTAGCAGGTAGTCACCTGCTTCGCTGCTGCCTGCCTTTGGGCACGTGACTGTAAAGAGAATGTTTCAGGGTTAACTAGAGAAAGGACCGAAAGGTCATCAATGTGGAAGTGGAGAAACCTATTCAAAATTGGCAAAAATTCACAACATGTTTCACAGTGGAAAGTCTTTTCTTACTGGAAAACCTTTCATTTTCATTGAAAAATAAAATGTAGCACACTCCACTGGTTCATTCATTTAAAGGTTTCCAGTAACAAAAGACCAGGTGTGGTCATTTTACCATGCAGTAAAATTTGATTAGCATTGCATGCCCTTTGCAATTCTGGAGTTGTGTAAGGCCAGCTAGTGTCTGGTTTTACTGACAGACTGACCACAAAGAAACTTTGTGAAACAGAGATATTAAAAGACACTTCCAAGGAACTCTATACTATACCAATTTTTTTAAATATGTAGGGAAATGAAAAAAAAAATTGTATACAATTAAGAAAACGTATCTGGGATTAAGATTTGAAATGCTTGTTGGATACATTTTACTTAAAATGCAACAAAGCTGATATTGTGATTTTAGAAAAAGTTACTTTACTGAAAAGCAAACAATTAGAAAATAGTACTGTCACTACAGATCCGACATTTACTTTATTAAAATATGTTTCTACTACTTCTTGAAAATGCTTTTTTTTTGGCGGGGGGAGAAATAATCCTCCTTCATTTGCCATTTACCAGCCACAAACACACGTGGGTTTTAGTTAATTCTTTTTTGGTAAAGTAGCTGACGGGAATGATTTTTCTATCATTCAGAGTTTAGGGAAGAGGCTACCCAAAATGCTAGCAGGATTGGAAAAATCATTTTATTCCACTGGCACATGCATTATTGCATTGAAAAGCAATAAAGCAAAGCAGATTTGAGGGTTGCCCTAAGGGGAGGTGAGTTGATCACACATCCCTCAGCTCAGGAATTAGAAAGGACCTTAGAGCATGCAGTGCAATAGTAATAAATGCCTTGTGAGAGAGCCGTGCTCAAAATGATGTTTATGATCCAGTCTGCAGGGTGGAGAGACTAGGTTCTTTATACAGCTTCAGCGATTGATCCTCAAGGGGGGAGCTCTGCTATACCAGTCACTAGTAGCCTTTCAAAGGCACATTAGTGGCAACTTTGTAAAAGGCAATATATTTCACTAAAAGGAAAATAATCTGTTGGCAGTTAGCAGTACAGAGAAGATAGAAAGTGGCAACCTAAGGAAAAGCAGGGGGCCATCTCTTAGTTAAGAGTATCAGGGAGCGAGTTGGAAAAAAGCAAAGCGACCCAAAACTTTAATTGCAAAGGGAAGTGGTTTATGTTTGCTAAATTGGGCTTGTTGGCCAGCGTGTCAGCAAGGTTGTCTTTACTTCTGCTATGTAAGAGCAAAGGAATCCATCTATGCGGCAGCCCCAAACATTAATTTTACAATCTGGTGGATACTGAGTCTTCCAAACTTTTTGATGTGTGATTTTTCTTCTACGCAGGAAGATATATTAAAGCGTGGCAATTCTTAGGTACATAAAACTCATGTTGGATGAATTCTGCATTTGCTTACACATTTGGAGTTGCATTAACTAGAGCCAAGTTGGGAACAGAACTGATTCTTAAAGAGTTTTCACATTTGCTTTGGTGTTGAGAAAATAAATAAGCTCATTAAACTAAACTATGGCCTCAAGTTGCCATCAATTAACGCCAGTGAATATTCTTGGGAGATATGACTATATAACAAAGGGTAAATATATTTTTTTCAATTATTCATTTATGGCAGTATTTTGTAAATGTTGGAAGTAATTTTTTCTTTCCTGTACACAGAAAGTATATATACTCTCTTTTGGCCAGAAATATGTGACAGTTTCCAATTTGTTTCTCTGTGATTAATATCTTATAATCACATACAAGGCTGGGATTAAAAATAAAGAGTGCAGCAGGAACCTCATAAAAACAATATGTTCTCATCTTGGGCATGAAGATATATCTGCTTCTCTAGCATGTATTGAGAAGGGATTACAAGTGCCTCTTGTCTTCAGAAGGGCAAACAATTAAAGAAAGTTATAGTAGTAACTTGATAGGAATAAAATTCGAGGATATTAACATAGAAATAATGTCCTGCAACATCATCATCAAAAGTCCCATGTGGGAATTGTTGCTATGAAAAAATAGATAATCCCTCAATGAGTATTTTGGTGTGCATAAATACAAACACTGTTCATCTTTCCCCTAATACTCACCATTCACTATATTTTTTTTTAATTTGTTTCCCAAGTGGCTTCAAAAGCATGATGCATGCTCATTGATGGGGATAGGGAAGAGTGAGTGGCCATTGTAATACCATAAAAATATGAAGGAAGTTCTGAACCTGGGCCAGTCAGTCTCATCTCTGTGGCTGGCAAGATCATGGAGTGTATCCTCCTGGAAACTAGACTAAGGCACATGGAAAATAAGGATGTGATTGGGAAAAGCAAACATGGCTTCACTAAGGCAAATCGTGTCTGACAAATTTGGCGGCTTTCTACGACGGCATTACCGTGTTGGTAGATAAGGGAAGAGCAGCTGACATCATCTACCCGCACTTGTGCAAAGCATTTGACACTGTCCCACCTGACATCCTTGTCTCTGAGTTGGAGAGACATGGATTTGACGGATGGACCACTCAGTGGATAAGGAATTAGCTGGATGGTCGCACTGAAAGAGTTGTGGTCAGTGGCTCGATAGCCAAGGGGCAAGCCAATGACACCAAGCTGTATGGAATGGTTGACATGCTGGAGGGAAGGGATGCCATCCAGAGGGACCTGGGCAGGCTTGAGAGGTGGGCTCGTGTGAACCTCACGAAGTTCAACAACACCAGGTCCTGCATCTGGGTCAGGGCAATCCTAGGCACAAATACAGGCTGGGTAGAGAATGGATTGAGAGCAGACCTGAGGAGGACTTGGGGGTGTCGGTTGATGAGAAGCTCAACCTGAGCCGGCAGTATGCTCTTGGGGCACATCTTCATCCCTGGAGGTGTTCAAGGCTCAATGGTCTATTTTATTAGTAAATGTTTTTGTACAAAAGCTTTATATAAGGTATATATAAGGTGTATTATATACATAAGGTGCCCTCAGCAAACATTGAATGAGAAGCCTTGCAGACAAATCATCATCTGTACTACAGCAGAAATACATTATCTTACATCACTCTTTGACTGCTTCCTATTACTTAGAGGATTGTCAATAAAGTCTTGTAATATATTTGGTAAACATGTCTGTCTCTTCTCACAAGAAGTTTAAGGGTACCATTCAGTAGTTTTCTTAAATAAATGTATATTGATTTTCCAGCCACTATGGTCAACTTGCACTGTCAAGTTGAATTCTCCCTTCTATTTTCCTTTTTTGCTTTAACTTTGCAGAAAAAAAAAGAAAAAATATCCAAATCCCAGCAACAACAAAAACATTATACAGCCTAAGCAGCAGTTTTGCTTACAGATAAATGAGGAGGGTGTTTAACCAAAGGTGGGGTTTGTTAATGTTTTGATTCTGCCTTAGACCAAAGCTTCTTCCTGAAGGCTTAGGAAAGTGAGGAGACAGACATCTTAACCCTTTTAACCCCTAAAGAACAAAATATGGTTAGGCAACTGGCTTGAGTGATGAGAATTTCATCTCTCTCTTTATAATGGAAGAGCATTAGAATTTTGCTGCATATTTTTATTTTAATCTTTTCAGATTTTCTGTGAGTCTAAACTGTTTTAATTCTCTTGACATATATAGCTCCTCAAGATTCAAACTAATGGAGCTAAAAGAGGAATTTGATGTGACAGAGTCTACAGATAGAGTACATTAGTCACAATTAAGCCTCTTTATTGAGTACTGATAAAATATTAATTTTTAGAGGCTGCTGCATAAAAGATTTGTACAAGTTCAGAAACAAACACATGTAAGAGAGGCAAAGACATTCCCATTATGCACCTTTTTAAAATGAAAAACAATTATTTAAAAAAAAAAACTCCAAAAAGCAATCAAGAACATGGAAGACCTTGATCATATTATGTTAAAAGCATCTATATTTGGACAAAAATAGAAATTAATGTTTTATTTCTCAGCTCCACCCCCAGATGGAAGATCAGATTACACTCTAAGTATCCCCAAATATCATGAGCATTAATGACTGCTATTGACAGACGTCTTCCTCCCAGCATGAGAATAATTACTGTTACAAAACATTTTTGATGTATTAAAAAAAAGGAAAAATTCGGTGGCAGAAGTTGTTAACATTTTGCCTCATTTCTGTGCTAGAAAACACTAAACTCCAATACTAACCATGTAATAATTTGTTAAAAATTCTGACTGTTAAACTTAGCCCAGCTAAGCTCTAGGTGATGGTTTTGGTGATAGCCCAACTCTTCAGCTGCAAATGGAATCGTTTCCTTAGATTTTACATGAAGATCACTTCCTGAAAGCTAGTCAGTTGCTTAGGCAAAGACTTCCATTTGATTTCCATTGGGATTTATATTGTGTGTAAACCCCAGTCCCAGTGCTTATGTAAGAACAAAAAGAACGTTAGTGGGCCAGACAGCATGACAACATGGAACATCCCCTGCCCATCCAAACCAATAAGGATACAGGCATCATGCTCTTGATAGGTGCATACCACTTCAAAATCAATGCAAGAACAAATTGTGACTGCTTGGATTTCATAAGATGTTATTTTGGGCTATGTTTTGTTTTGCTAAAAATGGATTGTCAGAAGTTCTAGTAAGCTAATACAATGCTGAATTTTGAATCCATGCTACCTACTGTTCTTGACTTTTTGTATTAAATCTTAAGTGTAAAGCATTTTACGCTAACATTATTTTCTGTGAGAGTATTGAACCTTTGACATAACGTGAGAGATTATTTCAAGAACAGCTTTGAAGATTAATTTTTGAATTCACAACTTTGAATATTTACACTTATCCGCCCCTGGCTTGCTAATGAGCAAACCCTGTTATTAGACTAGGTCTCCAGCAGTTAAGCTAAATAATTTATTTTTTTTTTATTTTTTCATAGAATCATAGAATGGTTAGGGTTGGAAGGGACCTCAAAGATCATCGAGTTCCAACCCCCCTGCCATGGGCAGGGACACCTCCCACTAGAGCAGGTTGCTCAAGGCCCCAGGGGAGGGGGGAAGCCTAATTCAATTAATTTAAAATCATAGCCCTTGAAACAATACAACTGTAAGAGGTATATTATATATTTTGTACAAGACCCTGATGTTTTTGTACAATGTTTCTAACAAAATATAATAGCTATTTGTTTTTGCTTTGTTCCTTGCTTCTTTCTTTTGATGTAGTGATATCACCTTAAGGTGAGAAAACTGATCTTTTGTTACATATCTGTCTTTTTCTGCAATGTGTGTGTGCAGCTTTAACAGCATAATTTACATAGAATCATTAAAATGCATGTTAACTGCATGCTGATCTAACATGCCCTGCGAAAAAGTATTGCTGACAACATGCCTAAAAGTTTTCTGAGATCTGAGCCAATTGTCATCTCATTTTCTGAAGTGTAAATATAATATCATTTTACTAAGAGGAACAGAACTGCCCTTTGGTCTGTAGCAAAGATCTGCTTCTTTCCTTCATTTTCTTTCATTATTAGAACTAATTGAACTTTTCAATAATATTTCATCCCAGGAATCCCTAAAATCTATTTTGTTGAAGTAAAGTTGCAGGGTGTTTCAGCAAATGCTGGTGGGGTAAAGTTTTACCAATTTTGCAGTATCGTCTTTGCAGACGTTAGGGAAAGAAGGTTGTCTTCCTTGCAAATAGGAATAACAGTCAACCCTTTTATGTGCCATGGATACTTTTTAATTATTCTGACCAGAAATTAGAGCAAATCATTCAGTGTTTCTTATTTGAAACAGGTAATTATGAGCTCAGTGTCTTCAGTTTGCCTAGTCAAATTCGTTAAGTGTTGACTTCCCCACTAGTACTACATGATGGATGTGTAACCCATGAAAGGTTTTGCAGGCACTTCTATAGTCTTTATCAGTGAAAGTGGGGTGCAGTGCCATCTTGGTACTATCACTAAAATTTTGCATTTTCCTGCAAAAGTGAGCTTGACTCATACTTATGCATTTAAACAACAGCTATCTATCCGTAGCTACAGCATATATGAAGTGTTATAAGTCTGGTTGTACTTTTAAACCTCTTCACACAGATTTATGAAAATAAGTGTGGCTCATTTTGACTGGATTAGCCCATCTCTAAAAATTAATTCAGTATGCAATATGGTTTCTCTTGTATTAGTAGGTGTAAAACTCACAATTTCACATCTCATTCCTTGAGTACAGAACTGAAAAATCAGCTCTTTCATTGTTCAGGTTGTGTAGGTTTTTGTGCACACACACACAATTCCTTTGTACTGCAAATATTATGTGTTTTCTTTTGGACAAAACAAGATGGTTTTCTTCATTTTGCATATATTGAACTAAGAGTATCTACTGGAAAAGATGAAAGATGTTTGACTGGTGGTTTTTTTGAGTTTTTCTTACCTGCATGTGTTTTAAAAGAAGTCCACATTCTGAGATGACATTTTCTTCAGCTGCCATTTATATATGCCAGTGTATATTTATTTATGAAACAATGCTTAAATGCCAGTTTAATGGTCAGAAATTCATTCATGCAAGCTTGAATATAGGGTATGACTACTCTTGTGGTAAATACCATCAGAAAACTGTAGCCTTTACATCGGTAATTGTTTGGCATGATAGAAATAAAGTCAAATGAACTGGAAAAGTAACAGAGGAGATTTGTCTTTTACTTATGCAGTGAATGTCTTTAATCTTACTAGCTTCCTGATGGTACCTTGTTCTGCAGCTATCCAGCTCATGTAAAATAATAATTTCAGCTGGGTTTTGTTCAATTTTACTCAAACTAAATTACCCCTTCTACTACAGCTGACAAACAGTTCAATGATACCGCTGTTGGACTCATGCTTTTGAATTAGATATCATCCTAGCTTTGACATATTTGGAAAGCTGACAAATTTGAAGTTTTTTGAAATATTGAAAAACATTGAAATATTGTGGCCTCTGTAAAACTGGAACACTTCTGTGGAAACCCCAGTGCTGCTGCAATGGTCAGTTTTGTTGTTTGCAATTTTAGAGCTTTTCAGCTTGATTTTGTGCAGAGCATTAAAAATTCTGAAGAAGAGTTCCCGAGTTAAATATCTCCACTAAGAGCTTACAGTTGCAATGAAATACTCTTTATTGCGTGGAAAGAGAGTAAGATAGAAGAACTTAATAGTATCATAAAGTAGCAGTTTCAGCATCTTGAATTAAATAAAAATCTGGCAGTTGGCTGGGCTCTTTGATTAAAAGAATTCAAGGCTTGTTTAAATATCATGACAATGAGACAATAGAAAGGATCGCAGAATATAAAAAATAGTTTAGGAACTAGTGATTTGACCAAATCATTGTGCATATACTTTAACTTCACCTTCAGCAAGCAAGCTAGCAATAGAGATTGTAATTCCCTTGAATGAAGCAGAATAAATTATTGTCTGTGAAACACTTGTCCACTTGTGAAGTCTTTGTTCAGAGATTGTAACAAAAGAAAACTATGAAGAATAACAGCAAAGAAATTGGCTTCTGAATGTCATGAGGTGCAAGGAAGTTTCACAAACTGCACACCTGGTAACAAGATAACTGTTCCTTTTGTTAGTCGTTGCATGTAGACACAAAACTGATAATACTGTAACTTTGAAAAAGTTTGATGTTTTTCATTAGTTTGGTGCAGCGGTTATGATTTTTCTTTCATGTTGCTTCAACTATGTGGTGCTATTTCTTGCAGTTGGATGAAGAAGCCTCGATGTGGTGTGCCTGACCAAACAAGAGGTAGCTCCAAATTTAACATTCGTCGGAAACGCTACGCGTTAACAGGACAGAAATGGCAACACAAACATATCACTTACAGGTACCAATATATTAATGTCCCTAGTAGTGCTGACTTTTTTAAGTAAATACACATTTCTGAAATATTTTTCAATATTTTTAGAATTTTATTTTTAATATGTGATATAAAAAAGCTGGTATGTATACCTCTTGGAATACATATCCAAGATAAGTATGTGCTTATGTTTGTGCTACGTAAGAACCAAATAATTTTATTAGATTAAAATTGCATGCATTTAGTAACTGGTAAGTTTTCAGCATTGATTCAACACCCAATATGTCCTTAACTTCACCTTTCAACCCTCCTGGAAATTTCTCAGGGAATATTGCTCTGAAACTAGGAGCGCTGTAATGACTCTCACATCCCTAAGTATTTAAAATAGATTATTGAAAGGACTTAGTCTCTGCAAAATGTAGGTGCCTACAGGTCGGTTCTAAGTGCAGATGAATTTCATTATAATTTGGTGAGTTGTTGACCCAACCATTTCCTACCTACGTGATGATGGGTATAGGCATATGTGTGGGTGTGTACAACTCTTGAGTCTGGAATGTACTTTATGCAGTTTGCTGCATAAACTGATCTTTGCAGGGAAAGTTAAATGCAAACTGTGCACTTGCTAGAGCTCTGTCAACCAAAGAAAGTGTCATGTATATAATATAAAATCCATAATTTGTCAGCAAACCAAGGATTCCAATACAGACTGTTTGAAAATTTACACAACCTCATTGGGATTCCTGTAATATCTAACAAGGGTAAGTTTTAAGGGATAAAATAGTTTTCAAATTCATTAACTGGTGCCATTATTCATGAACCCATATTAGTATTAAATCATAAGTTCATAATGGTGACGTAGACTGTTCTTCATACCACAGTGAAGAGATAGTTTTATTAGCAACTCTGTGTCAGTACTATGACTTACGTCTGAATTGGAGAATTCTAAGACATTACACACTGATAAAACTTCAAGAAATAGACTTCTGACTGCCTTGAGATTAGTATGTTTCATTGGCTGGAGTCCTTTATTAGTATAAAAGTAATACAGAGATGCTTGGAATAAGAATGCCCGCCTACAACACTTTCCATTTATTTGCATTTTAAAATGTAAATGTAGTGTGTGTGCACACATATGATAAGGCATCCAAAGACACCTACAAATACGTGTGTTTTTCTATCACTCTGATTTGTGCAGACTGTGAGTCTCCGTTTCATTACAGGATTTTTTACAGCAGTCTAAATCCTACCACTTGTATATCTTCTGTACTGTCACCCAAGGCATTAATCATAATAACAAACAAGGGTGCCTGGTATTAAACTATGTGGGAACTATCTAGTAATCTTTCTCACTTTGAAGAATTTATAGCAATTCTTTACCTCCTGCCTTCCATCTTGTAAAATGTTCACTCTCTCACTTTGACAAGTCAACCAGAGCTTTGAAGAGAGTAAGACTGTAATGTTTTTCATAGTGAATTCCAGACCAAAAGACATTTAAAGCAGAAACCCCAAATTTTATTAGAATAAATAATGTAATATTAATCTTTCTGCATTGAAAAATTCCTCAAAGCAAATAAGGACAACAAAAAGATAAATAAAATTCTTTACATGCTTCTCCTCACCTGCTTGTTTCTTCCCAGCAATTCCCTGCTTACAGGCTTAATACCAGTTAACTGAATGACATTTTCAGTTGTTTTGTTCCCTGATTTGTTGATCATATCTCTAGCATCACTTGCCTGCTCCATTTTTCTCAGTGCCACTTCTCAGTCTCTTTATAACCTGCTGGTTTCCAGCTGCATTCCGTGTCTTCCTGGCAAGTCAAACCTTGTAGTCTGAAGTGTGCCTGCTAAGCAAGCTTAGCAATTCCTCCAAAGAAAGTGATTTGTCACTCATTTCAGTGTCTGCTTCCTCTTCCACTTTTCAGGAGAAGAAAAACCAAAAACAATCCTCCCAAAAAACTACTCCCAAACCCAAGCCCTCTCACCCTTCCATCAGAACAGAAACACAGAATAAACAATAAAAATTATGACATAGATCACAAATGTCTTATTATAGGACAACTCACAAGCTTTTCTAAGTAGGAAGAATATTAAGAAAAAAATATTTTGTGGACATACCCATTATGTTAAAAGGAGAACAACAGATGAGCGGAACCATGGGCGTTATCAGCAGTTAATGGTTTTACCTAAAATACTTGGTGATTTTTTATTTTTTTTTTTGCCGAGGTTTTTGATTGGAATGGTGTAAGACAAGCTTTTCAAATTTGCTTCTTTGTTGCTTAGTTCAAGAAAATATTTAATATACTATTGTAAATGTATAAACTCTTGTTGGGCTCTGAAATCCAGAGATGTGGAGTTCTTTTTTCTATGCATTGTTGTCAAATTGGTGTAATTCCAGTGCTGAGAGGAGCCCTTTGAAAGAGAGCAAAAGCTACATTTACCACTTACTATCTGTCTGGCTACTTGGGCTTAGAGTCTATCTTCAGATGTTCTATTTAAATGAAATAATTATTGCTTCAGGCAAAACATCAAGACATTATTAATGGAAAAATAGAATTGAGATCACATATAAATGCATTTTAAACTGTGCCTACTAATATTTTTACTCTGGCATTTTCTGTCTGCCACTTATTTTTCCCCCAAAGAACTGCTCCTGGCACCTGTTAAATTTAAATTTGTTAATGTTGTTCAGAATATATTGCCTCTTAGATTGTCACTGTAATCATGGACAAGAGGATCAAAACAGTTACACATGTGATTTATGATATTTTTTTCTACATTTCCATATTTTCCATGTGTAATTTTTCAAGCAGAAAACAGTTCCCCAAATTTCAAGATAGTGCTTTGAAGAAGTGACCTACTATTATAATTTACATTAATTGTGTCACTTTTGGCCACATATTATATTTTGAGTTTCAGTGATAATTACTCTTCGAAAACAATGTGTATGCAGACAGCATAAAAATTCAAATTTCCAGTATTGGGAACATCAGCATGGAATGGGCATTGTGCTGCATTAATTGTACTTTCTTTCCCTTAGGGAAAACAGCTTTCCACTTATTTGAACTGGTAAATAGGGTGTTTGTTAGAATTTCTGTTTCTAATGAAGTTACAAAGCAATATTACTTACCGTATCTTTTCTGCCTGGTATAGTTCATACCTTGTAGACGTTAGTAGTACTTAGGTTGTCTACTAACATGACTTCCATAAAAATAGAAACAGAAAATGATTATTTGAACACTTTTACCAGCCAGAATATTATCGGAGTGAAAGAGAATCTCTATAGTATATGAAAATTGTAGCCCCCTTACAGAGCAAAATACAAAGATCTTAAGGATATGGTTTTGATTCTTCCTTATTGTCTTAGACCATATCAGGTCTAAATCTCTGAACATTATATAGAGTTAGAGAAGAAATCTCTGAAACTCATTAAGGAATTTTTAAAAATAAAATAAAAAAAAAACAAGGGGGTGTTTACAAAGACAGGAGTCTCTCAAAAAAAGATTACCTTATCTTTTTCGAGGGAAGTAAATCATCCAGTACTTTAAAGAAGGAGCAACAATGTGAATCAATAAAGCAATCAGCTTTCTAAAAATAGAACATAAATGTTTGTATGTCCTTTTCAGACAAAGAATTATTGACTAGAAAGTTCTCCCAATCAGAATTCTGGGCATAGTATTCATGATTTTAACTTCAGCAGTCAGTCATCGGTCAATTGCTCAGAATAGTTAGTCTGCAGAACACTTCTGCAAATAAAATTGGAGAATGCTCTCTAAAAAGCCAAGCTTTGCCTTGAATTATAACCATTACTTAGAACTCATAACTATTTAAAATAAAACAATAATTTAAAAGCAATTCTGCTTTATTTTGCCGTCTTGAGGAAGAAAAAACCCAACAATTTGATTGTTCAGCAGTATGTAATAATTTAATTGGTGGAGGAAATGTAACTGTAGATGGTCAATGGATTAATCCCAAACCAACTAGAATTAATGTAATCTTTTTCTTGACTTCAGTAGACACTGCGTGAAGCCCTAGATTAACGTTATTTTCCTTTCTCAACAAGTTGGATACTTCCTGGATTTCAGCTCCAAAAACCCTCAGAAGATGAAAGATTTGGACGTGTCTAACTTTATGCTGTCTAGCTAAATGAATTAATGCTGGCTGGGAGCTTCAGTATGCAATGAAAAGTCCTGTCTGGCTTGTTAACAAGAGACTATGTTATTGCCATGGTCTAAATTACCCATATCGTGCAGAATATGGCAAGAAAATTTTTCTTAGGTGTTTAAAAGCCATATTGAAAATTAAGAAAATGCTGAATTAAGAAAAAGCTTAGAATATACTGTTGCTTCAAAGTAGCAACCAGATTTTGGCTGTACTACTACAGAGGAATATTTAGAAAATATTTCCTATATCAAGGTATTGCACCTTATTAATCATACTTGTCACAAAGTCAGTAAATTCTGAATTTCCTTTTATTCAGTTTGCTCATGGATGAAAAAAGGTCAGTTCTGACATTCACACTACATTATTTTTTAAATATATGGCTATACCATTTCAACATCAAGACATGAACATACTGTCTTTCCGTTAAAAATGAAATGCAGAAATAAGGGGAAATAATTATTATGTGTTTTTTTCAGAGATGTTGAGAACACTTTTATGGACCACTGAAATATCTGAAAACTTTACTTCAATACACTGGCAATATTGTATGCTTTAATTCAGTAGCACCTGACTAATGTATTTTGAAACACACCAGAAGCATTTACTGGGTTGGGCTGCACTTCGATACAACATTTTCCCCATAAGAGGGAGGGCCTACAAGACCTTAAGCAGAGGAAATACTTAACTATATACTCTACAGTTCTAACCTGCCTTTTTAAGTCAGTAACAAATTGTGGAAAGCATTCTGAGAGGAATGGTGCAGTTTTCAGGGTTCTGTGAAAACAGATGTTTTCAGAATGACCCACCCATGAGTTCATAGTGTTCTACTTAAATATTTTGCTGGAACTCTGATGATTTACAGCTGCA